ACCCCCCATAAAGTAATGACCATATGAAAGCTTAAAGTATTCTACACCTTCTCATTTACTATCAAGTCTTTTAAAGCAATATTGAGAAATAATCTGAGGTTTGAAGTGAAAAAGTAATACCGTTTTTGAATAGCTGTGAATTCATGTAGAGAAGAGCTTTCGATATGAATGAGTATTCATTAGAAAGCTTTAGTGTGCACTTTCATTTTACTCTAACAACGAAGTTCCAGCTTATTATGAAAATAACGAGATATTTTAAAAAAAAACTTCATGTGACACGAATTTCGAATTTATTTTCACATATAGATCAAATTGATGTGACATGTCCTGTGACTAATAAAGAGAGTTTCGGCCGGAAACCTTAATCTGGTTAGGGTAGATGCCAATGCCCTGGTTTAAAAGAATCACCACCACCATCACCACCTAGCTTCTATGATAGTTCGGACAGTTTTGATAACAATACAGACTCAGGTTCTAATTATGAAGACTCTAATATCTGATGTGAGTTCTGAGTAGGGTAACATATAAATTAAAATTAGAATTTAACCGAAGATCACAAGTATGAAAATTTCATCTTTCATATATTAATATATCGAAAAAAATTATCGTCATGAAATAAATGAAATAATAACATTAGCATGGATATTGATGAGAAATATTACAAACTTCCACTATGCTCAAATTAATACATAATATTTAATATCAATCCTTTCATGTTTCGTAATTCAAAAATTGGTCATAAGGCAAAAAAACCGATTTCTTGCTCCCTTCCTTGTATGATTAAAATTGTTTAATTGGACCTCGGATAAGAGAACCATCTGTACGAAGAAAACCTTGTTAAAAAAGGTCCATTTTGGGAAAGAACGAGGCCGTTTTCGGCCCAAAGGTGTCAAATATCAATTTATTTAATACCAATTATAATTATTCGAGGTCGTTATTTTAATAAATTGTAAAATCATTTTATTTAAGATTTATTAAAAAAATCATCAAACAAACTATTTTCCAAATTTATCAGGAACGCCTTTAGCAGGAGATTGATCAGGGTCATTCAAATAAACACAACCTTTACCATACCAAGTATATTGATGATTGATTAATTCTTGAATTTTAAAATAAGCCTCCATATTTGCATATGGTATGCCAGATCTTGGATCTTTATATTTTGCTGGAAGTCCTGTAATTGGACAGATTATCTTTTTTGCTTCTAAAAAAAGAAAATGTCTACTATTGTTAGGGTTGGTGTACAAAAAAATTTAATAAAATTAATGAATAAGAATAAATTGGTAAATTAAATAGATGAATTACTTTGAGTTTTTTTTCTCCAATCTCGAAATAATTCAAATTCTTGAGAATGTGAAAGATTTTTAAAAATAACTACTTTTTTAAATATTCGATTGTCTTGAATCGGTTGTTTATTGTCAATTGTGTCACCACTACTGCTGCTATTATTTTTGTCATCATCACCATCATCATCATCCAAAATAACAATATTGTTATCAATAACACTGCTACTATTTATTAATTCTTTATTATTATTATTATTATTATTATTTGAAACTTCTATTATCAATTTTGGAGATGATGATGGTTTTTGTAAACTATCATCACCATCACCATCATCATCGTCGTCGTCATTATGATTTATTTCTTTTATAAAAGAATATTCAATGACCCTTGGTTGGTTTTCAAGAGATACTCTATTGCTTCGTCTAACGGTGTTTTTTATTTTATTTTCTCTTAATTCAAATTCTTTGAGCGATGCCAAATTTCGTGCTTCAGTTTCTTTTGCTTCTGCAAGGAGTTCTTCTTGCGTTAATATTTCTGATACAATTTTTTCTCGTTTTGGATATAACAACTTTTAAATAATAATAATGACAATAATAATTATTGTCGCTGTTGTTGTTGTTAAACAAAAATAAATTTAAAGAAAAACAAAATTTTAAAATACTTTTTTTTCTTCATATTCCTTTAATTTTTCAGCCAATAACTGTTTACTTTGCAATGTATACGATCTAGATGATGACCTAACTCCAGGCAAAATTGGAACTAATGAGAAATCGATTGATAATGAATAATTTAATCATAATTTTGCAATTAACTTGTTAGTTAATTTATTTATATAATTATAGTCTTACCCAATTGTTGTTTATCATCTTCCAAGTTGTTATTGTTAATTGATTTGGGATTTCTTCTTTTTGATTGAATGAGATCTTTCTTTTGAGAAGAAAAGTGTTTTACAGAATTGTTGCAAATATCCTCGTTGGACAATTGATCTGTTTTTCTTTTACGAAGATTTATTGATAAAGGTGGTAAAATAAGAGCCCTTCTTGCCTTTTTCTATAAATTAATCATAATATTGTTATCATTAAAATCAAATCAAATCTAATATTAGTTGATTATATTGTTTTAATTAATTTTAATTAATTAATGTTAATTTCATATTGTATTGATTAACTAACCAACTAGCTTACCTTCTTTTCTTTTTCTTCGCGTTTTTCTTCTGTTAAGATCAATTTTTCGGCTTCGCCATTGTCATCATCGTAATCATCGTCATCCTCCTCTGTATTAAAATCAGAATCAACAGTATCTTCGTCATCATCTATAAAAAAGAATTTTATTCCATAAGATTAAAATTGAAGCTTCTTAAAAAATTACCATTGGTATGTTATTGAATTTGTATATTATATATATATAAATTGATTAGTCACTTGACTCCATAAACTCTTCATCGTCTGAAAGCTCTTTGAATGTATCTCCGTATTCATCACCAACTTCCATTTCAATATCTTCTCTCTGATTTTGATACCTGATTTTCAACAATTGCATAAATTTAATATTATTATTATAAAAAAAAAACTCCTCTCAAGTAATTTATTACCGATTGCCAGCATTTGCACGTCTTTCTCTTGTAACACTTAAAGACATTATTTCTTTTTAAAAAAAAAAAAGCAGAGAAAAAAGTTCAAGTTGTTTTTGATGATGGATTAGCACAATTAGCACGATGGACAGTTACCATATAGGGTAAATATTACAGTCAGCAAGCAGTCCAATCAGAATACTCAAAATAACAACTATTATTTTTATTTTGTCAATTTGGATTATCACGAGTAATAATTTCATCTTCATCATGAACATAATTAATTTGTTTTTTTGCTGTTTCATCTTGAATGCCAAATAAATGGAGTTTGCGTGGACTAAGGTAATATAGATCTTACTTGTTTGTTGATCTGAATGCGATGCATGGGTAGCATCAATGGCCTGTGTTTGATCAGTGGCATCAAAATTAAACTATTAGTTGTATGAAAAGTTACTACTGTATTACAACCCAAATAATTTTTTTGTCCTTTTGTTCATTATCAAATGCCAAAAATAGTAAGTTTTTTGGCTAAATTTTTCAGCTATTTGATTAATTTATTATATCCATCAGAGCTTAAGAGGTGGTTGGTTATCAATATCAATGACTTTTTTTGATTTCGCTATTGAATAATTAATCGCTGACGATGCTAAATTGATGGCAGTGACATATTTTAAACGCCTCGTCCCATAAACAGCTTCTACTGCCATAGAACATTTGAATAGCTTTTTCTTTTTTTTTTTTTAAGTTGATTATCATTATCACAAAACGAGAATGTTTCATTTAGAAAACCGTTCATTCAGAACTAGAATTAGCTAGAATTAGGGCTTCTATTCAAATAATATTTATTTGAATTGTTTGTTTTTATTTATTAATATTAAAGTTTATTTGAATAATTCGAATAAAGATTGAGTGTATTACGAATGATTCGGACAAGAATATGTATTACAAATAGAAAATATAACTACTCTAAAAGGTTATCTAAACTAAACCGTTCCTCATCATTAATTAAGTTAATGACACATCGTTGTATATGTTTTTGCATTCATGCTTGGCAATTTCTATAATAGATTCAACAATTGATTGTTGATCATTGAATCTATTGTATTAATTTTGCACCATATGCGGACGATTTATGGGTAGATCTGACCTTTATCCCTGTGTTCAGAGGGATACAGCTTTAGCTTGGCGAGGAATAAATATAAATGTACGGATATATCTCTGATCACCTGGTCCATAGATCTTGAGTGAATTATCCGACCGATACCCAAAGATCGATAAGATTGATAAGGGGGGACATCCTCTTATATGTTTTCCCAGGCTGAGGCTCTATCCCTACGAACTGAGGGATAAAGGTGTAACCTTTCGGAAGTTGTCCGCATGGCCGATCAATTAACTATGATTCATTTTTATATTAAACTTTGATGATCAGTATTATTATAGCAAATATTGTGACACTGATGAAATAAGGGTATAATAATTAGGTTAGTTTTTGATTCACTATTACATAATTAAAAAATAATGTAAATGTAATTATGAAATAATTGGTCGTGAATTTATTCATAATAATGTAATTAATTTAAATTGAAGTATATAATTCTTCACTTGAGCATTAATTTCTTAAAAAAAAGAAAAATGTTACCAGCAACTTTACCATTTGAGCTTTTGAATGAAATATCCAAGTGCATTGAAGGTGATCATGGGACGTTATATTCTTGTGCTTTAGTTAATAAACAATGGCACTACATTAGCATTCCAAAATTATGGAAAGAACCATTTTATTGTAAAGGTAGCATCAAAATATTAATTAATTGTTTACTTGCACAAGATAAGGATTTTTTCAGAGGAAACTGCATTGAATTACCTCTTAGTTTATTACTGGATAAACCACCAATGCACAATTATGGTATGTTTGCTACTTACTTGGATTTTGACCAAGATTTTAACGATGCATTAGATGAGATAGTAGACACAAACCAATGTTTAAGAAAAAGATTACTAGAATTTGTTTTAGAATATTCAACCATTAGAGAATTTGCAATCTTTGAAAATAATTGCAATTGGTTGGTTAACCATCATGGATTTGATATGTGGTTCCAGAAACTTGGTGAATTAACCTGTGATCTTTCAAATAAATCTGAATTTTTCTATAGATTAGCTAATACTTGTAAAAATATTCAAACTTTAAGAATATATTTCCGTTCATTTAATGAGAAATCCAGTTATAGATTAGCACAATTAATTAAAGCTCAAAAGCGAATCAAAAAATTAATCCTACATGGTGGCTATAATAATCCAATTTTATCAAACAATTTAAAAGAAGTCTTATCAATCCATTCACAATCAATAGTCTATTATGAAGGTCGAGGAGAAACTGATTTGGATTCTTTAATAGGAACATTTCGCAATTTAAAGATTTTAAAATTAAAATTATCTGAATACAAAATAGAAGTCTTGGAATCTATCAAATCTATTTCATTTCCAAATATTGAAACAGTAGATTTATATATCACTTATCAGCCATTTCTATCAAACATGTCAGATTTTATTAAAGTCAATGGAAAGAATTTAAAAACTTTGCATATTAATGGTGATCCAAAAGATAAAGATTGTTTAGGAGAATTATTTCAATCAATTAGTCAACATTGTCAAAATCTTGAAAAGTTATCCATCTTTTACAATAATGAGTTAGATAAATGGTTATTAGAAATATTCAAAAATTGTGATAAGTTAAAATACATTAAATTAAAAGCACCCCATTGGAAATATATATTTAATGGTGATAAAATAATAACAACTTTGAATCAGACATTACCAAGATGTTTAGAAGATATACATTTTATCCAAGATGTTGATTTTTACAACAGGGATTCTTTAAGTGTCTTAATCAATGACTGGAGAGGACCTTACCATTTTATCAAAATAATAAAAACATAATCGGGAATTTAATACTTTAATAATATATGTATATTAATTGACATTTCTCAATTCTTACAATTTCAAATATTTTTATTAATTATATACATTTTGATACTACTACCTACTTACACTATTGCTACCATTATTTTAAATCAGTAAGTATTTTATGAAAATATTAAAATATAAAATAAAATAAATTTTAAAAATTTAAGAGATCCTGAAAGTACTCTCCACCTGAACTCAACACACTAGAACAATTTTCACACATAACAAGGTGATTTACACAGTGAAAAAGAATGTGTTATAGATTCCTCAAAAAACATACTTTACATTTGATAATTTAATTCATGTTATCTTTTTATGGAAATTTTCAAATATCCAATCTTCATTGCTAATTCTTTTATGATTTCTACATATCTACTTGTTCTATCAATAAATAAATCACATGTCTCCTTCTATTTAACCAAACCTGCCTTTTAATTTTCCCACTTTGCCACTATATAAACTTTTTAAGCTTGATATTTCTTTTTTTTTGATTTTCTAATTTTGAAATGTATCCTTTAATAATTTTATTCTTATTGTAAAGTTCTTCCAAACATGAAATAATACTTTCTAATAACTGATTCAATATGCATCTTCAAACATGTTACAATCATCCTCCTCTGCTGGTAGTGCACATTTGTCAAGTTTTCCAAACCTATATATGCCATCTCTTAGCCAGTTCATGGTATAAAAATTTAGTTTTAAGCCTGATGATTGGAATATAATCTATTAGTATAGATCCATATACTATACTTTTCCATGTTTCTGCATATACAATAAACTAACCAGCCATAAACAATTAATTACACCCATTTGCCAATGATTTAAATGCTCATTAACTTATCAGTAAATTGTTTTTTTTTTGACAAGCTTGAATTCCAAGGGGTCTCAAGCCTCACCATTGATAAACTTATTTGCAGTCTTTGCAAGAGTCCCTTTCATGTCGGCACATCTTCCAATCCTTACTTTTGCAAGAGAATCTTTATTTTCATTATGTGCCTTATCTGTTGCAATGGCTTGTATTCCTATATTTGAAAAATCATCAACATATGTATGTATGTACATATGAATGTACGAATGTATGATCTATCAGGAACGATTATTTTCTGCAGTGATAAAATATTACACTGTAAAATCCTACAACAATATTATTATAATTAATTATTGTAAAATTACAAAAGTTGTCTTTATTAATTTAGATTGATGTCCTTATATACGAATTACATACATTGATAATAATATAAATATAATATAAATAATAATACTCTTAATATTCTTATCAATCTATCTGGATGATTATAGGACATAATTAATAATAATAAATATAAGATATTAAAGGCGACGTGAAATAATTTAACGTTAATATTAATTGAATGTTACACGGATATTTTTACGCATCGTTTCACGCAAGACAAAAATATTGTTACATTTATCAAAGAGTAAGTTAAAAGAAAAGGATATTCATCAAAGGGAGCTGTGATATCTTAATCCAGTGATTCAATATGAGATACGAACCTAGTGGAGGCATTCAAAATTGCAAATGCATCTCATACCTTAGAAAAGAAAAACTTATCTACAAAAAAGCAGGACACTGGCTATAAGAATCTCTAATAAGTTAAAGACCCTGATAAATAAAATTTAATACAACATTTTAGATTAATTATCTTACATGAAGAATATTGAATGATCCAAAAAATGAGATGAAAACAAATCACAGGTAAGAAGCAATCACATTACAGTTGTGGTGTTGAGCAATTTTCAACATTTCACTTTGTCTGGTTTTGTTGCAGCATGCCCCAAATATACTTTTGTCCTTTGGAAAAAGAAAAAAAAATAATTAATATAATTATACATACTTTTTAATAGTATGTGGTAGTACCATCAGTGCTTGCAATCTTGAGATAATTTTCATCTTCTGGTCAATTAATTCAAAATTTACATATTGGTCATTATTATGAATTGAAATAAATAATAATTACATCCTCTCCTAGATGAATTGAAACAAATAATTCTTTTATGATATAGTTGTACATTTTTTTCCTATAATATCTATAACTTACTTTCATAAATAATAGGTTGTAAACTTGGTTCTTCTAATTTCTTTTTTTTTTTGCTGAATTCAATCTACATAAAATTCTTGACATGAATATTAAATTCTATAAAATCATTTTTTGTGAATTTCTTCTAAAGAGAATTTAACTTCACCATCTTCTTTCGATGCTATTACTTTATCTTCAGCCTCCTAAAAAATCTCCAGCAGGAAAAATTCATAAAATTAGGCCTTACCCTAATTCGAAGGAAAAAAACAAACTATTAAAATGGATTGATACTGCGCGCTGGATGTACATCCAATGCCTAGCTGCAATTAATAGTGAAATAAAAAACAAAAACAAAAAGTATTTACGTGAAAATTATATCAATAATAAATCTGAAAAATTTAAAGATATTAGTCTTAAGTGGGTTCTTGACACACCTCATGACATTAGGGATGCAGCAATGATGGACCTTTTAAAAAATTATAAGTCTAATGTCGCTTTAAAAAGAAAAAACTTTAAATTGAAATTCAGATCTAAAAAAGATAAATCGCAATGCATCAAGGGACTGGAGAAGAAATCGTGGTTCTTGGGGGTATTAAAACAAGCGAAAAAATATCCGAAATAAATTACAAACTTCGTCTCACTATGAATCGTCTTGGTGAATTCTACTTGTGTATCCCCAAACTACTTGAAATTAAGGCTGATAACCAAGGTCCTAAATTTTCGGTGGCTGAAGAGAATAAAGGCGCCGGCATCATTTCTCTTGATCCAGGAGTGAGAACCTTCATGACTGGCTATAACCCAAGCGGTGAGGTTATAGAATGGGGAAAAGGGGATATTAGTAGAATACATCGCTTGTGTTTGCATTATGATAGAATCCAAGGTGAAAGGGATTCTATTAATGGCAAAACAAATAAACGTAAAGAAAGGTATAAGCTCTGTTGGTGCATGCTCCGGGGTCCTATTCAAGGGTCTGCCGCCGATCCTTATTAAAAATGTTTTATTGACAATCCATTTATTTATCAAAATTTTAATTAATTATATAATATTAGAAAAAAATCAACATGGCAGCCGGTGATTCATTAAGTTATCGTACACGTACTGCAATACCTTCTAGTACGTAATCTATAACAGCATGTATCTCAAATAATGCAACTTTTTACTAGCATTATTTTTATTCTCATAACTGCCTATACTATCTATATAAATAATAATAATGATACAAAAATATAAAATAAAATTAGGTCGACCTGAAACCCATGCATCAAGAACAATGACACTTAATACTGAAGAGTTGGAAGAAATAGAAGCAGGTAATAGCAATGGCATTGGAGGAAGAGAAGAAATAAATGGTGATACTTCAAATCCAGTAGGAACTTTAAAACTTCGTGGTGGTGGCTCAACTGACAGAAAAGTAAAATGGGATGAAGATGTAATTGATAATGAAGGATTAGGAAGAAAAAAATCTAAAGGTATTTGATTTATGTTTTTATTATGGAAAAATCCATTATATACACATACATATTTCACTACATAAACGTTAATTCATTGTTACTTCATGTAGTTTGTTGTATTTATCATAGACCACGCGCATTTGATGAATCATCATCGGATGAATCTAGTGACAGTAATTGTAGCGATGATGATGATAATAATAATAGTGGTGAAAATGGTAATAATAGCAGTAATAATCATAATCATAATCATAGTCATCATCGCCATCATCACCACCATCATCATCATCAAAATCGTCGAAGTAATAGTCCAAATGCATATGAACGGCAGCCAAATTACAAAAGTAGGTGTATTACTATTATTAATTTAATATTTTTAAAAAGAAGTATCATATTAAGTTCGTTTTGATTTCAATAACATTAATGATATCTGTGGATTGACAAATTGTTTGTTTCAAAATGAAAAATTATTAGATCGATCACGGCCACAGAACTCAAACTCTCTTTCATAATAATAATGATGGTTTCTATTAGTAAAAAAATTTTTGAGCAATTTTTTCTTTTAAAATAAATTAGCACTGATGCTATTATCTCATATATATTATAGAAAGGATATAGAAATTAGATTTTAAAATTTAAAAACCGTGTTTATCATCATCATTTTTATATACTTCTTACATTCTATTATTACTAAGCATCTATCTACACATACATCTATTCGTTATTTATTTTTATTTTGTCTTTAATCACATTTGAATTCTTAAAGAAATAAAAATATTCAAAAATATAGTTATTAATTATAAAAGGATCAGCACCAGATTTTGCCAACAACTTTTTAGTAGTAGTATTTAATAAATCATCACAATTCTTTATAATAGTTGAGATAAAACTATCATCTGTTCCACTTCTTCACATATACGATATCTAGATAATTATCGATTTTAAGATTTGTTACTGTTACAAATTTACAATCATTTTTTTACTTTTGAAAACTCTTTAATATATTTTGATTGATTTATTTTTTAATTAAATATTAAAGTAATATTTTACGTGATGTTAACCAGCAGAACCAGCTGAACGACGAGACAAGATCTCTTGTTGAAGTCGACATACTTTTGAAATTCCAACGTTTCATCACGCCAGCAAACCTTTACTAATTCTAATAGTTGCTGTTAATAAATAATTGATAAATTTATCGTTAACAAAGAAACTTTCTCCTATGTTAATATCAACGAATTTACAAATTCTGCAATCAATATTAATATCTTCCTTCATATGAGAAAATCGCTGTAATCACAATTACCATTCCAAGCGGTTTGTTCGAATATTCTTTAACAATTTTATCCTAGATTGTTACACATCTCCAATTACTCATTATTCAATCACCACGTCCATTTAGATAAAGCTTACATGTATCATACACTAACGATCGATGTCTGGCATGAACCGTAGAATCTATGATAAAAGTTGTGAGGAGCGGACCAAAGCGATCGAGGACTTGCGATATCTTGAAAAAAAGAATGCATAATTTACAGAGGATGAAGGAATCTCTATAATACTTGAAAACTTCTTTGGTGTCAAATTCTCTGCTATCATTTACAATCTTGGTATATTTCGAAAAAAAATCTGATATTGGAACTCGGTTGGCATTGCACGTTGCTAACCAACTCTAAAAGTCGGACCATTCACTATCGAAACCTTCACATTCTTCAAAATATTCTTTATCAATATTTGGGTCAAAGTTCTAAACCGAGGTAGAAATGTATTTATGAGCGTGCAAATTTCTTGACTGCTAAATCTGTAACGGGATCAAAGCCAAAATAGAGGTATTGAAGATTTGGACAGCTAAATCAGCGATGGGCTCACAGCCAGTAAGATTGAGTTGTGCGTGGGAACAAAAAAGTTGGAACAAGTCAGATAAACGCTTCAAATAGTTTAGGACAGAGTGGTATAGAAAGAAAATTACATTACATAATTACTTTATTATTATATATTTTAAAATACATGGATCAAAAAGTAAGAATAAATATATAAATAGTAAAATTAATGAATCATCAAATAACTATATAAAGGAAAAAGTTATGATTAGGTTTTAATTGTGTCTGTTGACGGAAAACAGGTGTACTTTTAAGGCTCCAGATTTCGCCAAAGCATTGTTTATGCTTTGGTTGGTTGGCGCTGTCCCATCATTTCGATAATTATGGTGTTACTATCTTTACACACTTCTATAAGTTTAGCCTTGAGAAAGTCGTAAATTTCAGTAAGTTGAGCGTTTGTAATTGGCTGACATCGTTAAACTTGAGATCCCACCGAACATAATAATAGTAGTGAGTTTATATAGTTTAACTCGTTTTTTTGAAAAGCCAATAGAGAAGGATGAAATATTCAAATAGCTCTTGTAATATTATTTTGGTTGTAACCATATATATCATCGGAAATTTAACAATAATATTACGCTTGTATATGGGGCCTGATGTAAACTTACATAAGTAGTGCAATAATTATGTAAATTCGCGCCAGAACAAATTTCCTGGCGATATCAACATCATCATCAACAACAAAAACGAATTGTTGGTTTGGCGAACATCATCACTATTTATATTAAAGACGCCTGCCGTAATTGGTTATTTGCGGCGATGTGGTAGTTACCATTATAAAAAATATTTACGGCTGCTGCAAACAACTACGACTGCTCGCAAATAGATAAGGCAGTCGCAAATAGTTATGAGCGCTGCAAATAATTGTAAATTTTATTTTTTATCACTGTAAATGAACGACCGACCAATTGAATTCATCAAGAAAATTTTCTCGCGACTAATATGATTTGAACTATTTAGCAGCAGTTGTAGTTATTTGCGACAGCCGTGATTATTTACGGAAAATGATAGCTATCAACAGCTATTTACGGAAATGGTAGCTACTAGCCCAATCATTTACGGCAAGTGTCTTTAATACAGGAAGTTCTATATTAAAATAAATAGGCTCAATAACAAAAATGTGCTAGAGCAAAAACTCGCTGCAGTTTTATTCTACAAGACTTGAGCTATGATTGATCAGAGTTTTTGTTAATAAAGAGTTCTGCGATTTTATTTATAAACATCCACTCATATTGTAAATACGTAGATTTTTTGATGACATTCTCAATTCAACCTATTACAGTAATCAATAAATTTCACATATTAATAAATAAAAAAATCTCTGTGATCTTCTAACTACAAGTTTAAAAGGCAAATGAAATATGCAATATACTAGAAAGGTTTAAAAAAGAATAGTAATAATAATAAATTACCTTTTTATTTCTAAATACGTGTATTTCTTGTTTTATGGGAAAGTTATAATGCTACTTACTACCGTGATACCATCAACACTCAAAACTATACCCTTTCACTCAAAACCTACTTTTTAGAAACATTATTTTAAATAAATAAGAATTTATTATAAAGGGGCAAAAATATTTTTGGAATATAATACATAAAGTGGTTTATACAACGCGATCAATTTCGTAAAATAGCAAGTCCTTTTTTTGACAAATTAGTAGTATTAGTATGATGTTTATTTGGGCATATTATAACTTAGAATTCTCCGGTTTGAGTAGCAACTTGTCTTGTAGGTATAAATAAATGATTATATACAAATTTATGGTTATACTCATTATACACTTGAAAAAATATCAATTCTTTGTCTTGTTTGTATCCTAAAAGGATCTTTACAGCCATTGTTAACTGTTGATGAGGAGGGAAAGGTGGGATTAGATTTTTTATAAATAAAATTAACATTATATTACATTATATATCACTGACCTGAAATCCAATGAATAAGGATAATAACAAATTAGATCTCCAATTATTTTGGTCACAAAAATTTAAAATAAAAACTTGAGGTGGAGAATAATAACTATTGTATATATGTATGTATATAAATCTATAATTTAAAAAATCATTGATTGATTGATTGAAATCTTAATCTTACCAGAATAAATCAAGAAAGTAAATATGTGGATCCCACTTTCTAAGAATCCAAACTGGTGAAGAAACATTACTTTTTCTACTTTCAAATATTTCGCAAAATAAAAGATAACTAGATGACAAAATATCATTATCATCAGTTAAAATTTCTATTGGCAATAATTAAGTGAAGTGGGAAAAGGGACTTACAAAACACTTCCGGGAAATTCCTTTGACCATTCTGGTTGTTCTAAATCATTATCTTCAATCCAAACATTTACACTTTTAGGAATTTTCTTTAAAGAAGGAAACATATATTATAAATATGTTTTTCTTGGATGAAAATTTACCATAAATTTAAAATTGCATACATTTAGGTCATGACTAAACAACTGATCTTTTTTTGTTCTTGTAAACACATATAGACAATTTGTTATACTTAGAAAGAATAATAACCATTCCATAAACTTTAACTAAAATGACAATGACAATGATGATGATGATGATGATGATGATGATGATGATGATGATGATGAAAAGAATAATAATTCAATAAATTTCTTTACTAATTACTCAAATCTCACAAACATTAAAAAATATGATTTAACATACCCAAACACGTAGATAAGATCTGGTACTGATTAAAGGATCATAGTTTGGATCATCAAAGTGATATAAAAATTTCAAGAAAATGGTAAATACATTCAAAATAACTCCCACTATAAAACTAATAAATATTATTCAATATGACAATTGATTTATACACATGTAGGTAGATATACGTACATAATATAGATATATTAGTGAAAGTTTATTGATGGCGAATAAAAAACCCTTGAGCATTTGTTTTTGATTCCTTTACCTATTATTTTGTTTTATTTTATGTTCAACTTTTAGTAACAAATATGATCCGTAATTGATAGGCCAATTTATAATAGATTTCCATACGCTGCCATATCTAACTATTCTTCTAGGTCGTTCTTCTGTTGACATTTTATTGTGAAAAGGGAATCTTTTGATTAGTTTGTTACACGAGAATTTTAATTTTGGTGATCCATATTCACCGATTTGTGCAATATTTTGGGATACAAAATTTTGGATCCTATTCCTTTCTCGGTAGTCTTTTGTTTCTTTGTTTCTACAGGTAACATTAACTTCACTGTATTTCCTACAACCATATCCGCCAACATTGATTGTTGCAGAGTATTATTGTTCCGATTATCGTCATTATTGTTGTTTCTTGACAATTCGGTTTTATGTGTCCTTGTTGTTTACGTTTTTGATCCTTGGTCTTTGCTGAACATTATTATTATTTACTTTCATTAGGTTAACCAGTTGATCAATTAACCCTTGTAGTGGTTGGTTTATCACTTGATTCATTCCTGGAATATTAGGCATGAATTGTCCTGCTGAATATGCCGACAAGGTTCTTCCTCTAGAATATGTCATCTCGTAAGCCTTAGCTCTTTCGATTGCATCTTGGATAGTATGAGGTAAGAATGGACTTACTTCCATGGACAATTCTAATCGTAACCTTTCCGTGAACATTCTCGCTTTGATTCTATCTGGGCAGTTATTTCCCATGTTCAATTCTCCTGAACAATTCATATATGTATGCTGCGAAAACATTCACTGTTTCTCCAGGTAATTGTTTACGTTTTTCTAATTATGCTGTCACCCTTCTTCCATTGCTCTAATTCTATGTTTCCTTTGAAACTTTGGAACAAAGCTTGATGCTATAGTGTTATTATTGGTGTGATCATCCCACCGGTCTATACTTACTCCACCATGTAGCAGCTTCTGCCTTTAGTCTGGATACTACCACAGCTACCTTTCGATCATTGGCTACTCTATTTACCACAAAAGCTTGTTCCATTTCTTCTAGCCAAAGTAATTGGGTCTCGGTCTCCTCCATAGTATCCAGGATATTTAACATTGTTTAATTCTGGTGGTACAGCTGGTGGTGGATGTATTGCATTTACCGCTTTGGTTATTGCAGCTGCCAATTGTTGTAAACCTTGTGCATCCATTAGGTTTGGTTGTTGATAATTCGGTTGATTAATTTGTTTGGTTTATATAAATTTTCTATTCCTAGAGTTGATTCTTCATCCGAGTCACTTTCTGATCCTTCCAAAATTTCACTAGGTCCTAGATTATCACTTGAGTTGCTATTGTTGTCTTCTTCAGTTATGGGTTCCGGAGAACCTTAAGTTACTTCGTTTAATGCTATTCTGAAGTGGTGAGTCCTTGCTACTGCAACTCAGTAATCTTGATAAAGTGTTAATATATTTCCTGGGTATCACATATATCTTATACTAACCAATAGTGTTAAAGCAAGTTATTGTAACCTTCCAATGTCTTCCTCTAGTAGTTGTTGTTCGAAAGTGTATATAGTATTTTTTATTATTTTGGTCTAAAAAGACTTTTATCAATTAATATATTATATTTCAATAATAATAGAAAAGAATGCTGTTTTCCTCGATTTACTGTTAATTTTCATTTACTATTTCTATTTATTAAAGAAACATTCACAATTACCGTGAATTTCATTTATAGACCGCACTACACATTACCTACGCTATTTTATTTATCTTGTGTTTTATTTTATAATAATTTCTTGCGAAAAAGATTGAATTATCAAGATACATAATAACGGCACGGATCATTCTTCAAAAAATCATGGTAATTTGGGTCTCGAATACGATGTTGGAAAATGGACCACGTAATTTGCCAACGTTGCTCGAATATACCAATGACAGTATCTATATCTTAGTTAGAGAAAGCTAAATCACGACCATTGAAATGAAATGTTTTTTTTACAAATGGATCACTTGATTCCCAAACATCAAAGGTGAATATTATAAATTCCAGAAAATTACATATTAAAAACATGATAAAAAGTTTGTATCTTTCCACAAAACCAATTGAAGGGTTAATTAACTTTACTAAAAATACCGACTAAACTTATATATAATCACTAATAACAACAAAAAAAGGATTTTTAAAATTTCTTTTTTTTTAAAATAGAGCTTAATCAATTAATCAACGAATCCAATTATTTTATTGCTTCATTCTTTATATATCTATTTTTATCATCTCAACTAAACTTTTAATAAACTATTTAGATAGTTACACTAAAAAGAAAAGAAAAAGAAGAAAAAAATTAATTTTATTATTTTCATCGCTCCAAATCCAAAAGTACAATAAATCCAAAGTTTTAGCTTTTCCGTTCTGGCTTGTTATACATAATAAAATTTAGATACGCTTATTTTTATAAGTCTTAGAACTTTCTAGAATCATTTAAAATGTTAATATGAAAATTACTTCTTCATGAAAAAAAAAATAATTAAAATTTACTTTAGAAGTACCTCGTTTTAGAGAACTGCACGAGTCACCATAAATACCCAATCTGTATAAATTTATAATTTGCAACCTTAATCCAACCTGCCATTAAAAAATTTATAAAAATCTCAACCTGTAAAAAATTTTTTTTTATTAAACGATGTTAATACAAGGATAATATTGGTTATTTAAACATAAAATGAGTTACTGATTCGAAAAAGTGTGCGCTTATATCGTTATAAAGTGAGTAAATTGATATTCACGGGAATGAATTGCATATAAATAATGACACTATTTACCAAAATGGGAAAGTTAGAAAAAGACTTGTTATTATTATTATTGTCATAGAATTCCATTCCATGATGGCGTCCCGTTATTATTATTGGTATAATAAGAGAACCAATCAAAGTCATTCTGATCAAAGTTAGACAATGAATAGATAATCTTTAATCTTTTTAGATGTTTTTGAATGACTACTAAAATTGTAGTTTTAAAACTCTGCATCATTATTCAACAAAAAGAACCTCTTTAAGTGCTTCTCAAAAAAAAAGAACTATGTGCCAAAAAGATCGTCCAGTATTATAAAATCACATGATAATGATTCTCACATGACTTTTATATGAAAATGACATTCTTGCATGGAGGTGTAGGAATGACTCGTATATTTTATTATTATTTTTTTTGCCAATTATTAGATATCAGGTCAAATTCAGTCAAAATTCAGGTCATAATTACAACCTGAACCCGACCCGTAGTTATTTGACGTTAAGACCAAACCCTCTCAACCCGATGCAGGCCTCCAACTCGCTTCATATTAAAAATTTCTAGTGAGAGTCATTTCTCACTATTCTCATTTAAAGAGTAGAAATTTTGGGCCATATAATTTACCATGTGATTCTCCTGCCTTGATAAAAAAATATTATATAGAGAATTTATTACCGAAATTCAATTCTAATTCGTAATGCACGTTCACATACGTACATAGATTAAAAGTATCATAATATTATCACTATTATTTTCTAAATCATTAAAGATATTGAATCTAAATTAGAATTGATAATCTTAAATTCTCTTATCAATCATCATTGTATATTTTTGTAATAACAGTATAAATAATAGTAAATATAATATAAATAAATAAATAAATGATATATTAAGAACAAACATCATTATCTGCTTTAGTATTTAAAATTAGACCAACAATTAAACCATAAAGACCCAGTACTTCAGCAAAAATTAATATTAAAATCATTCCTACAAATAATTTTTGTTGTTGTGCATGTGCTCTTACACACTTTTAGAAATAAGAATATAAATACATAAATATATAAATGAATTATGTTACATTATAAATATAATTAATTAACAGACATTGTCATTTTTTTAATACTTACAGCATCTCCAACATCACCTATTGAATAGCCTGCAGCTAATCCAGTAAGTCCTACTGCCAACCCAGATCCTAGCTGAATGAATCCACTATAAATTATTAAGATTGAGATTGAGACTATTATTATTACTATAATATTACCATTACTATCAACATAAGTAATGTTTAACTACTTACGAAAATAAAGAGTAATCTTCAGTGGGAGATACTAAAATAAATAAATAAATAAATAAAAATATATAAATATATACGAATTATATAATATTATTTTCTTGTTGTTGCTGTTGTAATTTATTAATTAATTAAATTAACAACTTACAAGATCCAGTTATTAAGACTGCCATAACAAGACCATAAACTGCAAGGATACCTGACATAATTACTGGTAAAAGTGTCTAGAAAAAAAAACTTGTAAGTTATCATAATTCATTTGACAATTATATTAATATTTAATATACTTAAAAAATATATATATACCTTCATAATAAGTTCTGGTTTAAAAGTTGCTGCTCCTGCAATACCGATTCCAGATTTTGCAGTGCCATAAGCTGCACCCATTGCTTTATACATGTAAATGGCGAAGTTATTTATTTTAATTTAATATTAATTAACAAATAAATGTAATGGTTTATTTTATAAAAGCAAAAACTATATACTCACAACTAAAGATCATCTAAAGCAACAATTTATATCAAAATAAGTTGGTTAATTGCTCTTTCTTTTTTTGATTTAAATTCATTTTTAAAACTGAAACAACTTACGGCTGAAGCAATTCCTGCAAAACCAAAAAATGATGAATAAATTGGACAATAGTCAATTGGTCGGATTGTATTCTCCATTATTAATGTCAATAAATTAAAATTTATTTTTTGGAACAAACAAACCAAAAATATGATCGATCAACTTTTTAAAATTATCGGATCATCTTATTCAGGGGGTCAAACTCCAAATTTTATTGTATATAATCGTAATAATGTTGCACAAGAAAAAATAATTTCGAAAGGGTCCGATTCCGATTTAGAGTATCCCGTTTGTGCGTTGCAGTATATTACGTTTTTGGCAAAACAATTACCATCCATGTATAACCACATATAACATTAAATGCTGATGAAACATGTTTGCAGAAGGCCAAGTATATGTTGCAGGATAAATTACATATTATAAATTTTGATTATTCCGAATTGGAGATCTCCAAAGCAAGCTTTAGAAGAACATAAAAGATTAGAAGTTATAAATTGTAATGGATTGCAAAGCTTGATATTAACATTATAAAGGGAAACAACAAATAATGATTATGCTAAAGCAGTGGAGTATCAATCATTAGTTTTAATCCCTGAAATCTTTATGTGATACAATGTTCATTTATTCCATATGAGGCATGCTGCAACAAAACCAGACAAAGTGAACATTGGAATTACCAAAGAATTTCAGGAATCAATATTGTTTTTAACATCATAATTGTATTCAATTGCATTACTAATGTAATGTGATCATGATATTTGTCTAGGCAAAAATTATTAATTAATATGAAGCTGATTTACATCAGATCTACTATGGAACCCAAAAATTACAGCACCATTAGAAGTATTTTGAAGAAGGAACAAGGTGAAAAAATTGCACCTTATATTTTTAAATTAGCAGATACTAAATCCTTGCAAACATATTTAGACAAAGAAAGGATTACCTATGAAATTTACCAAAAAGAAAGAAAAATAATAAACCAGAAAGAAAAGAAAATCAGTAGAGAAATAATTTGCTGTCTAATTTTAAAATAATATATAGATCAATCAAAGAATTAGGAAATCCTTCTAATGGATTATTAAATGAATGGGCAATTTATTGTGGAATGCAAATAGATGATTTAATTGAAATAGATTTAAATGAATATTGGATAAATATTCAAGATCAATTGCCAATTCTTTCTGAAATTGCTCTGGAATGCATATGGTTGCCATATCTAGTTTCTCAATATATAACAATATTTTAGATAGCAATAGACAAAATCTTTCAGAAACTTCTTTAAGAACTTTAAATATGATGTATAATAACTCTAGTTTATTAATTGGGGGGGGGTTTATTTTTTTAATTAAATAAAATGAGAATTAAGCAGAATTGCAAATAAAATAGGCAAAACTTTACAGAAATAATGTTTTTAAACGCCGCAGAAGCAAGCAGATTTTTGATTTTTTTCGTCGCAGAAATTCATCGTCCCTACAATCGCATCAACAACAAAAACAGGGGTCCATACATAAATAATTAGTGTACAGTCAAACCTCGTTTCAACGAAGTTTGGTCTGGATCCCCTTTTTTTTATTAATAAAAAATCCGCATTATTATTAAAAAAACCAATTTACTAAATAATAATAATAATACTTATCTAAAAATTTTAATCGCATCATTAAATACTAATTAATCAAACAAAATAAAATTCACTTTACTAAATAATGAGAAGACTGGTATTCTTCCATTGTCAGACAATGTAGAGTAGAGATTGAGGATGTGACTAAATTTAGAAAGTGATCTTGAAAATTTAACAAATAAATTTTTCTTTCAGTTCACCATTGACTGCAAAGGAATATATATCGATTGATGATAAGTTAACTAATAGTGAAATGGTAACTGAGGAAGAGATTATTAATTATCTTACACAAGTTGAACATGATACAAATATTTCCAATATTACAATAAAGGATGCAGCCAATGCTTTTGAAACTGCTTATGATTTTCTTGAACAACAATTTAGAAATAGATTATAATGAATTAAAAGCTTTTAAATCATTAAAGAGAAAAGTAACATTATATAATGTTAAAAATCATTATTTTTTTTCACCACACGCGTCGATCATTAATGAAATAGTTAAAATTTTGTTTTAATGACCATCCCATAGATTCGTTGACTGTACGCGTTTTTGTCGATCAAATAACAAATTTTCTTTTTCATTTATATTTATTTAATTAAATTTAAAAATTAAAAAAATGCCTAAAGAGAAATTAAAACGAAAACCACAAAAAGAAACAAAGGATTCGTATGGATAAGTATTGTTTATCGTAAGAATGTTGGTGGCAGTTATCGCCACCACTCGTCACTCTAGCTATTTTGAAAAATTGGCATCATGGTACAAAAAGTTCAGCGACTAAGTGACTTGCATTATAGTATACTGCTTTTTCGTGTTTATTTCATTAACTTGTGCTTCAATAACCATTAGAGCTCCACCCAAAAAGGAAGGCCGCAGAAGAAAGAAAGAATATAAAAAAAGTCAAGAGATTAAGACGCTTTGGTGTCTTATATATGGAGATCCTCTCACATCTGTCTTCCCAATTGATATTGACACTAATAATGTCCATTGGACATTTAAAAGAAGTCATTGAAAAAAAAGTTAACATTTCTGATGACATAAAAGCCAAAGATATCACACTGTGGAAAATAAATGTTCCATATGATGAAAATACAGAAGAGATAAACATATACTTAAAAACAATGAGAAAATATGTGTTAAAAAACTATCTCCTATGAAAAAAATTGATGATACCTTTGTTGACATTCCGGATAATCATATTGAAGTACCTACTATCAGTAGTGGGTTGTAATGAAATTAGTTATTGATGATTGTTCCATCAAACATACATTGTTTTCCTTTTTATAACTAACATTTTAATACTTTCTGCTCCTCTAGTCAACTAAACTTCTTTCCTCTCCGAAGCCATCACAAAGATTGATAAAATATATCAGAATCTAATAAGACCTATTACATGCTCAAAAATCGGTAGAAAGAACTTTGATGAATTTCTCAACTACAGTGAACCCTCTATAAGTGCACCCCCCTCGGGAACATAGTGCTATTTCTTGTGAGCGTGCATTTATGGAGGGTGATTTTATAAGCTCTCTATAAGCTTGGGGATGAGATGGGCCGTGCATTTATGGAGGGTGTACTTAGGGAGGGTTCACTGTATATTGAAAAAAGATCGACAAAAAATTGTGATCGACTATGTAAAATCATATAATAATAATGTAGGACACCCAAACATTCCTTCTAATACAGATAACGACGATTAAGTTAATGACGGTAAAGCTACGATGATAAATAATAACTTGACAAGATAAAGAGAGCGTTTGGTATGAGAAGATTGTAAATGAGAGCAAGAGAACGAGAGAGATAATATTTAAGACGTTAAATTAATTTAATTTGGACAAATAAATAAAAAAAATGCTTTGTTTTTATAATATAATAAAATATATGTTTGCAGAAAAATAAAAATATACAGTTATTATTAATAATAATAATAATATTATAAAATGTTTTTTTTTGTCAATCTAATTTTTTAAAAATAAATATTAAACAACTTGGACCCAAGGTTCTTGAACTTCTAATATGATATCTTTTATTCTATCTACATGTGCAACATAATAAAGCCTTCTTCTAAAAGTTTTTTTGAATCTAGCATAATCGCTATACAAAAATTGTTTTGGTATCATAATTTTAGTTGTTACTGTTGTTACAGTAGTTATAATTGCACCCTCATTCGTTTGGGTTGATGATGATACTTGAGTAGAAGTTTCTTTGGCTATTTCTTGATGTACATTCTCGAGAACAGAATAAATAGCAGATAATTCAGTAACAATTCGATAAACCAAAGGCGAGAAATAAATCGTGTGTTCGAGTGGTTTAAATTCCCAAATTTCACTTAGATAATCCCAAGCACGATGTGGATCTGATGAATCTAATTGATAAATTATGGGAATCTTAACTTCTATTTCAAATCTAACATTATTTTCTTTATCGAAATGTTGAAATGATGCTGGTTTTGTCAATTTTAATTGATTGCATCCTTTAAGTATACAATGATTTTCACCTGCATTTCCAGAAGATGATGTTGTTGCGTCAATCGACATGACAGAATTGGTTTCTTCACATTTTAGTTTTTGAATTACGACAGATTTTAAACCTTGAATTAAAGCTGCAAAAATATCAACGGGACCAACGCCTGGTAGTCTATCAATACCAAAATATGGTGCTTGATCACGTTTAAAAGATGCTTCCGAATTGTCTAGATGTAAAGTTGTGAAACATTTTTGCAAATTCTTACAAACGCCATTAATAACTTTGGTGATTTGATCAAGATCTTCATTGGAGAAGACACCTTCACGTAAAGAAGAAAACACGTATAAACTTAACGCTGACATAAAGGCTTCAAAGCTTTTTTCTGTCAGGTGATCGAAGTTTTTTACTTGTTCATTAATAAAGCCAAGGAGACTTTCTGAAATATTTTTCCAATCAGTATTTTCATTATTATTGAAACAATCTAGGATTTTGTGTAATTTTTCCAAGTCATTTTTCTCTTTTTGAGTTGTTGAGGATTCTTTCAATGATTCGATTTCATATTTCATCATAATCAAAGCATCAATAATCTCGCTATCAATTTCTATTAATTTCACATTTTTCTTGTTTTTAATTCTATCATTGATGCTGTTGTTAATCGAACGATAATAAGCGTATTCTAAAAAGTTACTAATATAATTGAAATTTACTGCCGAAGCATCTTCTTCTACCTCTGTATATTTATCACAAATAGGTGATTGTACAACGCCTTTAGCAATATTGCAATAGCGTTTTGCCAATGCGGCAATTGACAAATTCATTTTCAACAGGTCAGTTGAAGTATTATATTGGAATGAGTTGAATTCGATTGGATTCATTGTGTGTTTTGTTTCTTTGTGAAATTTCTCAGAAATTTCATTACGAACAATTCCATCGACTGACTTTGCATAACTAACTATAACGCTTTTATTATTTTTATTGTCGGCAGTAATACTTTCGAAAGCGTCCAAATTATTATTTCTAGATTCTGAATTTCCCATTATTGTGACGGTGTGTTTTAGTGAGACAGTTTTTGATTGTAGTAGTATTTTTTGATTGTATATTTATATTTAATTGCAGTATATATAAGGTGCAGTTAATTGTAATAGAATGTGTCTATTTAATTTTATAAGGTGTAGTTAGCAGTATTTTTATTGTCAATTCTTTGATTTTTGGTTTTTGTTTTTTTGTTTTTTGAATTTCAAATTTTACGTCTTGATTTTATAGCAGAATTTTCTAATATATAATGCTTGTTAAACTCTAGGGTTACAAAGAAACGAAAATTGAGGCCATTTTTCATTGGGACCTTTTTTGGGTTTGTTTTTTACATATAAGGAATGTATATACACAAATTTGTAATCTACAATAAGGAAAATCGACTTTTAATGGACATTGTACTACATTACATAAAAACCATAAAGTATCATACAATGAATTTAACTTTTTTTTGTCATCTCAAAGATTGTTTAATTGGGTAACGGGAAATAATAATAATAATAATAATATCTGTGTTTGAGAAAACCTTTGATAATAAAGATTCTGAATTTCCCATTATTGTGACGGTGTGTTTTAGTGAGACAGTTTTTGATTGTAGTAGTATTTTTTGATTGTATATTTATATTTAATTGCAGTATATATAAGGTGCAGTTAATTGTAATAGAATGTGTCTATTTAATTTTATAAGGTGTAGTTAGCAGTATTTTTATTGTCAATTCTTTGATTTTTGGTTTTTGTTTTTTTGTTTTTTGAATTTCAAATTTTACGTCTTGATTTTATAGCAGAATTTTCTAATATATAATGCTTGTTAAACTCTAGGGTTACAAAGAAACGAAAATTGAGGCCATTTTTCATTGGGACCTTTTTTGGGTTTGTTTTTTACATATAAGGAATGTATATACACAAATTTGTAATCTACAATAAGGAAAATCGACTTTTAATGGACATTGTACTACATTACATAAAAACCATAAAGTATCATACAATGAATTTAACTTTTTTTTGTCATCTCAAAGATTGTTTAATTGGGTAACGGGAAATAATAATAATAATAATAATATCTGTGTTTGAGAAAACCTTTGATAATAATGATAAAGACAATGTTTCAAAACTTATTGGAATAAAGAATAGCAAAATTTATTGTTGGGTTTCATTCTATGTAAAAATTAATTACTGGTTGCACTCGTACTACATAGCCATGGTTTTCTTAAAAAATAAACAATTCCTGAAATGCTTTTTTAAAATTTATTTTGAAAAGCTCCCCCATATTGTTTCATTAGTCGTTGAACTAAATATATGAGTAGTTAGATAGATAGATATCGTCAAGTTGATGGGCTGTTAAAGATTACACAAACAATTTAATGCATAGAAAAAATAAGTTACTTTAATTTTCCTCGACCTGCATAAAACACATATCAGTATTGGTATTACAAATCTATATTCTGATCAAGACACATGTTAACATCGACAAGTCTATATAGTTCTCTGATTGGATAATCACAAAACCTTAAAAGTGCACGAAATGAGAATCAAGAATGCATTTTGAATCATTTTTAGGTGATTTATTGTTAATGTGCATGACCTTGTGTAGATTCACAAACAAGATTGCATCACGTTTATTCGAAAGCCTGCCTCGTTTTTTGATTGATTTCTTGTTTCTTGTTAGTGTTCCTACCGAAAATCAAATTTTTACGAATATTCGAAAATCAATTTATTCAAAGATATTTGAATATATATATATATATATATATATATAATTTATTTCGTAATTATTTCGGATACTCCTAATTTTTTGGGTACTCGTAGTTATCAACCAGGGAATTTTTTATATAAGATCGGCAGAGAAAGGTAACAATGCATAGCTTTCTTTTTTTCAGTCTTTTTAATTAGTAAATGTGCATGTCGATCAATTTTTGTGAGAATTTATGCATTGTCATCATCTTGTATTGTTCATCATTGTCATCTTTGTTCTGGTTCAATGTCATCTGATCAATATTTTTCAAGATCTTTCAAATAAACCAATTATAGACATTTGTTTATTTGAAGTTTGAATATGGCCCTATAAAATAAAATACGGAAAAGATACGGAATAAACCGTATGGAAAATACGGAATTTTAAATAATAAACAGCACATATTAATATTAATATCAGTCATCCGTAATTTCACGGGATCGACATGTCTACTGCTGTAGCTATGTAATTTTTTCGTGAAACATTTCAATTTTTACTATTAAAATCGAAGGAAATTTTCATTTGCTACTAGTAAAACCACATGACATTTCTAAACAAGGAGTGTGATTCTTTGTACACACGTTGTTTGAGATTTAATTTATTACCTCGCAAAAGTTCAGCTATAGTTTATTAAGAAAACGGAAAAGAATGGTCTGTTCAAAGTTATACCTTCAGTTCTTAATCATGTTACAACAAATTATTTTGAACTTGTAATTTCAATAAAACATAAACAAGAAGCCACCATTCGGTTTTTAGAAAACATTGGGTTGGTGAGGCATGGACAATGGAAACAAGGTCAACTTCTATGATCCACATCTCAAATGTATAATTCCTTAGTAAATAAAATAATTCTTTACTAATAAGCATATCTTTTAATTCAACTAGCATAGTGAGTTTTGGAATAACTATTACTACCACATAAAATCAACCTTATGGATGGAT